AAGCTCCAAGTACAGTTGTGCGTTACGTGCACGAGCATCGCGACGCTCTCGAGCTTCGTCCACTAACTGACGCACTGCTACACTTTTCACCTGAAATGTTTCATTACGTGCCTGTTTTAATCGCTAAGCCGATAAAATACCTCTTCGCTGATTTTTCAATTGGCGATATCCGAACCAAAATAGTGATGCCCAAAATAGACTTACTAGCGACATCTCGAAAATGCTAAAGCCTTGCCAAGAGATTCTTTCGAAACAATCGTTGAGTTCCTAACCACTTAAGGAGACGAAATGGATGTTGCAATCGCTAGGAGAGTGACCACCGGACAATGCAGCATTGGTCAAAAAAAGTGGGAAATTTGCCAGCTGTATAACTGGCAAACCAAACTAGGCCCTGTAACTCATGTAATTTAAGTGATTCGAAAATATGGATTTATCTTGGAAATGTGATAAGATTTAGATATAACAAGTATCCTCATTTTTAAGATAAAAAATTCTGGAAACGGAATGATGGAAACCAAGAGCTATCATTCTAAAGAGGACTGTCCCACCAAAATGACATCTTTCCGCTAATTCTCCACTATTTCCCCATACAGCCCTAGAATCGCCTCTCTATTTTCGAAATTTCCTTCCTGTTTCAATGATTAATTCAAAAACACACGCCCAACGGGCGATACTTATGCAACTCAAGGCTGAAGGGCCTGGTTGAGTTGTGTCCACGTGTGAAAACATCCCCAGTAACAAACCACTAATATGGGAAACTACAACGATTGTCCGGTCGATCTAGATATTCCTGATTTTTCAAATGTTAATGCCCACCTGCAAATCAGCAATCTGAGCATCCAGCTCCGCTAGAAAATCCAGTTCCGCTTGTTCAAAATCGTTTGTGACTGATGGTGGTGGTGGTGCATGGAATTCAGGTGCAGCAGGTCGATAGCTAGCACATGGGATATAGGTAAAGCTGGATGCCGTGTTCGGATACTCGGTCACAACGTCCGAGTTCTCTTTGCAGTTTCGCCTGTTGCGACGATGACGATGACGATACTGATGGTTGTGATATGAATCTTGATCGCACTGATAAGGTTTGGCATAGATTGGTGATGACGATGAGCGCGATGAGTCCAATGATTCGCTAGATGAACTAGCGAATTCCGAATCCGACGAGCAAGCCTGGTTATCAAGCATCACCGAAAATCGACTGAGGGTCTCAAATTATAACAGAATTACAAACGTAAAGCAAATTTTTCCCGCATATTTCAATTAACTGATAAAAAGCAAGTGACACTGATGCCAACTAGAGCCCCGTGAATTTCGTTTTTTATGCGTTTTTTGCAGCAATGCAATGCGAAAAACGCATATTGACGAGAGGTTGTCT